TGAATGGAAACTAACCCATTTCACGTGCACAATTTCCCGTTAATGTAAGACTAAACGTATCTGTGCGATACCGTCCAAGAGATATGCTTAACACTGGTGCAATCCCACATCCTGTAATGAGCTGTTGGTCTTACAACATGCAATCTGTGGGTAGCCTGCTGGCGTTTACTTGCGGTAACTGGCGGCTTCCTGCTCGTCGGAGGTGTGGGATATTGCTGTATGTTGCTCCTAACGTTCTGTGTTCGCGTTTTTTGTTGTTTTCTGTTAAGTGATGGGCTTATTAAGAACAGTACTTTTCACGTGACACTACATGATCGATGTCCCACAATTTCTGCGCACTAGGTCCACCTATTGGCGATCTTCACACTTTGTACCCGCCCCTCTGCGATCTCCACGGTCTTGAACCACCTCCGCACGATGTTCACCCGCATGATTCACTTTTCCATGTTTTTATAATTGTATTGTGCATGGTGTCGCAAAAACCTGCTGTGGGTGCTGATTTTGACCTCGGGCTATGTTGTCGCCTTTCCTTCATCTGCATAAGGTGCACACGCATTTCAGTGGTCAACCATGTTACCTACGCAGCGCGGCGTTGTAGATACAAGAGAAGGAAATCGTATGCGACAGTCGGGATATGTGTACTTTTTACATATGTTGAGTTCGAATTTCTCATACCGAGATAGTTGCCTTTCGTATACCACCACGAGCTGATTAAACGACGTTGTGTTGTCAGACAACAATCATATTGGCGGCACCTTATATTTTGAGCTGGGCTCATCCTCAAGAGATAAACACACCAGTGCATTACCTCATGCTATATTGAGCGTCATTAACTCATCAGAAGCACGTTTGGGGGCCAAGAAACGAAACTACTGATGTACGAGCAGTTAAAATATTTTCTTTCTTATATCAGGGGCGTTTCAAGTCACGGGCCACCAGTTGTTAGATTGAGCACTTCTGGCCACAGAGATGGCGATGGTGGGAGCCATGTAACGGTGCCCGCGTTGTTTATTGGTGCATGCCGTCTTCAATCTGAACGCGTTGTAGCCGCCTGCAGTCCGCAAGATTGTTGGAGGCACTCGTACATAGCTCCGCTACCTTGTATTGTACCAGAAGCCATGGCACGGTTTCTGGGAAACATTTCACGGTTGCATCGATGCAATTGAAAGAAATACGTTGCAATTAAAATGAAAAATGAATATTATCACACAAATGTATCCGCTCCGTATTAATGACGTCATTATTCGGATACAAATACACTTCAAAATGATCCTAGATCTATCCATGCTTTCACTCTGCAGACTAGCCTGGGCGTGATGAAAGTCGCTGCAGTGTCAATTAAGTACCTTACTCTCGGCAATCAAGCACTTACTGACATTGGACGAAGCTTTTTTTGATAAATGATCAACAAACTCCGACAAATCGACATTATCACACTTGGCAGCCAGAACTCTATGCAAAATATGTCACTTCTACCGGGCACAATTTTGGTAAACATCTAACAACGCACAAGTACCACAACTCAGGCGAGCGCGAGCGGGGAATGATCACCCCCGGGCGATCCCACTTTCTCCAGAGGGGTGCTCGCTGTCAATCGGCTAGGCGCCCCGCCAGGCCTGCGGCCCCATTCCAGGCCGGGCGTGCTTTGCCGGTGGCGCACTTGCATCATATTTTCTCTTTTTGGTTAACTAAAGAACTCATGCGATTCCACGGCACTAATACATTTTGGGGTTTCGGGGCGCATCGACTGCTGTAGGTCATGCAGCGGCACGAATAGAGTAATTTATCAGATATGATCCGTACAAAACTTGGGCAACATTGTATTGCTTGCAGTATGCTGCACCATAGGTATATAACATTTGTGACATTTTCCTTTTGTAATGCAGATCGTGTCCCGCAAGGCATAGCTCGTAATGGTAAGTGTGCAGTGTGGTTCGATGTGTTCTGCTGGAAAGTTGTCTCATTTCCCATGAAGCCAGCGAAAAATTAGCAGTTCCAAAGAAATGTTTTAACGTTTCACCAAATCCAACAACGTTCGAAATGTTTCTACTTGTGTGTGTTGTGGATAACGAAGGTTTGTTGGAAAATTTGAATTCAGTCCTTACTGAAACCAGTTACATTTCTCCGCTCCACAATCTGATGATACTTTTTAATTTGTCTCCGGAAACCGGTATTAATGATTTAGCACAATGTCGGCCAGCGTGTCGGTCGCAGAGCACCGCTGCTTCAGGACCAAACAACACGAGTGTTATGTAAGTGTTTCTTCAGTCGCCGATCAGAGTTGCTTGGTCTGTTTCATATTATTGATTTTTCAAGTACGCAACAGTTTATTCCATGCAATTTATTACAGCAAAGACGTATAGCGCACACTTAAACGAGAAAACAATAAGATGTCAATGCATCCTCAGCTGACTTGTGGACTCTTCTTAATATGATTGGGAAGGAGCTCCGTAAGACTGAGCGAGCTGAGCTCTATAGAGGTGAAGAGTTTTGTGCAAAAGATTCAAGGTAGGTGGTTATAGTTATCTTTGTCATGGTATGACAGTCTAATATAGTAAGTGTTTTTTATATTGGTGCACTCTGGAAGTGTTGCACATTCTTGTGCACTCTTTTAGCGGTTTGCATAACGGATAAGATGCAATGGCGTCCTTCCTGTTGTTTAGGTCTCGTCACATATGATACGCTCTGAGAATGTTTTCAATTTTGACTGGAATGGTTGTGTTAAGTATATTGCATTAGGTGTCTTTTTCTTCCTTGTCACTTGTTCAGCCTTCCCACTTAGTTCCACGCTTGCAAACATTCCGCAGGGGTTCCTGTTAAATGAAACGAGTTGATAAAAGCGATCCACTTCACGTGCATAGTCCTCCTTTAATGTAAGGCCATGCGTATATGTAGCATGCCGTGCGAGAGATAAGCTTAGCACTGATGCGAACACCCGTCATGTAATGTACTGTTGCACATACAATATCCACTCTCTGAGTAGCCCTGCTATAGCTTGTGGTTGTCTACTTGTCGATGGTGTAGTATATTTATATATGTTGCTCCCAGCGTGCACTCTTTGCAGCTGTTTTCCTTTACGTTACGCGCTTATTAAAACTGGGACTGTTACACGTAGCACTACATGATCCACTCCCTACAACCTCTGCGCGCTAGGTCCACCTACCAACAAGATTCACACTTTGGATCCAACTCCCCGCGATCTTCATGCTCTTGAGCTACCTCTGCACGAAATTAGCTTGCATTACCTACTTCTATACGTTGTCACAAGTGCACTTTACATTATGTCCGAAAAACCTTCTCGTGTGCTTATTTTAAACTCCAGCCGTTTTATCACCTTCCCTTCATCTCTAGAAAGTGCACACTCATTTCAGTGGGCGACCATATTAACTACGCATCTCGGCATAGTACACACAATACAAAAAAAAACACATTTTACGGTCGGGTTATTGTGTACGTTTTAGATATCATGAGTTCAATGTCCATATCCTGAGATCATGGCTTTTCGTACGCCAGCAGGTACTGGTTAGACAATGCGTGATGTTAAACAACGATGATATCGGTGACGCTTGGTATGTTGAGCTGTGCTTTATCGTGAACACATGAGCCCACCAGTGGTAATACCTTTCTACTATACTAATTACTCAGCATATTAACTTTGGTCTCAGTATACCGAGATACCAGAGCTGAGGGCCTTACTTTATTACGTCAAGAATGCTTTAACTCACAGGCTGCTACTTGCAAGATTGAACATTCCTTTGCCTACATAGTTGGTGCTTATGAGAACGGTGTAACGACCTATGCTGTTCATTGGCGTATGCAGTCTTTATGTTCAAGGTATCATTTGGTCGGCTATGTATGATTGGAACACTCAGGTGACTCTACGGAGAGAAAAAGTTGAGTCGCAAGATATGACTGATAGGAAATTTTGGCGACCTGGTATTAATTGCGGCAATCCTGTGCCACGCGTAGATGTATGCTCGGATTGCGATTTTCCCGAAAAGCGAGTGAACATTGTTGGTTCAAAGATAAGCTTTTCAAATCTTAACAAATAGTACTGAAATTGAAATGGTACTCTAGTTTGCTTTTAGTACAAAATGTAGGTACCTGTCAAAGCGCATCCGTATTTCGATTTGAGTGATCCAGGGTCCGAATCGAATCTTTTCTTGAGACAGGTGCATGCCTTTGTGCAATAATGTGATGGTATTTTATGCTTTGCCTCAGTAATGCTTTATTACGAATTTGACACAATGTCAGGCAGCGTGTCGGTTGCAATGCAGCGCTACTTTATGACTAAACAACACCAAAGTTATATAAGCGTTTCTTCAGCCGCCCTCATCTTCCCGCGATTTGCGACTTGGATACGATTTGTTTGTTGGCCAGTTTAAGTTGCTTGGCTCGTTTCACTTAATTGCTATTTCAAGTACGTAATAATATATTGCATTTAACTCATTGCACCAAAGACGTAGAACACAGACACCAACGAGAAAGCAATCAGATTTGAACAACGCAACACAATTGGCTGAGTTGTGAACTCTTCCTAATACGATTGGGAAATTGGGAGATTAATACGATTGGGAATAAGATTGAGCGGACTTGTAAGAGGCAGCAGCAGGACAGTAAGAACGAGCAGGCGTGTAGGAACGAGCAAGTGTGTAAGAGGGAGCAAGCCTATAAGGACGAACCGGCTGGTACGAGGGAGCAGCGGGGAGGTAAGAGGGAACAGGCTTGTAGAAACGAAGTGTGTGCGAGGGGGCAGGCTGGTAAGAGGGGGCAGCCTTGTAAGAGGGAGCGGCAGGAGCGTAGGAGCGGGCTGGGGCGTAGGTGGCCGGCTCGGGGTACTGGGCCTCCCCGTCGTAGGTGACCTGGGCGTTGTAGCCGCCGTATCCCTGGTTGTCAGCCGTGTACTTGGACGTGCTGAACGCGGCCGTCGGGCAGGTTGACCAAGTAGTAGCCCTGTACGACCTTGGTGTTCGCTGTTCTCGTTCTGGGAGAACACTGACCCGCTGTAATGGTCGTCGACGGCGTACTCGAACTGGTACGGCTGGGCACAGTACCGCGGCTCCTGGTACGACGGGGCGCAGGAGGGCACCCGGCCGTGCGACGGAGCCGAGGCGTGGCTTGGCGCCGGAGCAGGAGCGTAGCGTGGTGCCTTAGCTGGGGCATAGTGCGGGGCGGGTGCCTGGCCGTAGCTTTGGGCTGCAGCTACCAACAAAACAGCGGCGAGAACGAAGATCTGAAATGAATGCGAGGTCCTGTATAACATGCTCTTAGACCATTGAAATAGCGACCACTCTGCTATTAGACCAAATATCGTATACTTGAATATGCAGTGTTGTGTTCTCTTGACCTTTCAGTTGACCTCACCTTCATGGTGCTCTTGTTGTGATCCGGTGGGTGACCTACGCTCCGCTCTCGGCCCGCTGGTCTTATATACGAGCCGTTGTGGAGGGCGCAGTCGCTCTTGTTTCTAATACCCTTCACCTTCTCATGGTGTGGTCGCCTGTGCGTATGTGCCGGCAAAACTGAGTATGCATGTCGTATGACAGAGCTGTGAAGAGGCTAATGATTTCTTGGAAAATATTCAAGAGTGGTGTTTATATCTATCCCTCCTTGATGTCATGGTGTAGTATGTGTTTGAAGCATTCATGAAAGGTGGCACACTAAAAGTGATACATATACTTGTGGATATTTTTTAGCATTATTCTTAATGGATGAAATGCAATGGGGTCCTTCTGGTTTATGTTTTTCAGGTCGCGTCACAAAGGATGCAGTCTGAGAATGCCGTCCGTTTTCACTCGGCAAGGTCTTTAAGAATTTCGCATTGGGTCACTTTGTCTTACTTTTTTTCTTCCTATCGAGTTCCGCTACTTTTGGAAATGCTCCACAAGATTTTGTTTTTCCTGGAGTGATTTGAAGTAGCAACCCATTTTACGTACATGTTTATGTCCGATTCTTTATTATTATTTATTTTTATTATTATTCTTCTGTTATGTTATTCTGAACGTATCTGTACCATACCGAGCAAGGGAAATGATTGACGCTGGTGCAAACACACACCCTGTAATGAGCTGTTGCACTGACAAGGTGCATTCTCTGAATAGCCCTGCTTGCGTTTAGTTGCTGTAGTAACTGATGGTTACCTGCTTGTCGATGATGTTATATATTGCTGGACGTGATTTCCAACGTTCTCTGTTCGTATTTTTGTTTCTCTTAAGTAATACGCTAATTCGGACCCGCACTTTTTAACGTCACACTACATGGCCCACCTCCCACAATCTATGCGCACTAGGTCCACTTACCAACAATGTTCAACCTCTGGATCCATCTCACGCGGTTTTTGCGGTCTTCAACCGCCTCTGCACGATATTCACTCTCATGATCCACTTCTGGGAACTAATCCATCTAGGCATGTTGTGAAAGATGCGGAGATGAAATTTGAAAAGCACGTTACAATCAAACCGAATACTATCACACAAATGGATCCGCTCCGTCATCATGAAACCATTATTGGCATACAGATCCATTTCGGACTGATCCTAAAACTCGACAGATGTGCCATAATATCATATCCGTCCATCCATGCTTACAGACGCTATTGCCCTTCTGCACACTAGCCACGGACGTGGTGGAAATCGCCGCCATCGCCATCAAACACTGAATGAAGAGAACGGCGTTTATTTGGTCTTAAGTAATTTCAGCTTGCATACAAATATCACAATCTCGGCAATCAAGCGCCTGCCACGAAAAAAAAATGTTTGGGATAGGTCAGCAGCAAACTCCAGACAAATCGACATTACGACACATGGCAGTCACAACTCTACACCAGATATATCACTTCCAACGAAAACAATTTTTTCAAACATCTAGTGGCATATAAGCACCACAATTCTGGCGGGCACGATCTGGAAATGACCACCTCCGGGTGATCCCACTTCTTCCAGAGGGTCCAGAGAACGCTGTCTATCAGCCAGGCGATCGGCCAGACCTGCGGCTCCAGCCCGAGGCCGGCCGCGCTTAGTCGGTGGCGCGCTTACACGCATCATGTTTCCCTTTTTGGGGTTAACCAAAGCACACATGCGATTGTACGACATGAATGGACAAATTTACCATATAAATCGATGCGTCAGTTTGGCAGCATTGTATTGCTTGCAGTATACTGCACCAAGGCGTATACAACGCTTCTGTTCTTGTCATTTTGTACTGCATATCATGTTTCGTAAGGTATAGTTCCTAAAGGTTAGTGTACCGTACGGTTGGGTATGTTCTGTCCGAAAATCGTCTGACTTCCCTAGAAGTCAGCAAATATTTATTGGTTTCGAAGGGAGCTTTTCAAATCATACCCAATTTAGTAACGTTTGAAATGTTAATTCATGTGTGCTTTGTGCATAACATGAAGGTTTCGTACAGGATTCGAATTCAGCCCTTACTGTGGTCAGTTACATGTCTCCCTTCAACAATCTGATGGTGCTTTGTGCTTTGCGTCAGGAATCCGGTGTTTACGATTTAACACAATGCCGGACAGCGTGCTGGTCGCAGTCCACCACTGTTCCAGGATCATACAACACGTGTGCTATGGAATCGTTCGTTCAGTCGCTTTCATCTTTCCCGCGATGTGCAACCTGATAACAATGTTTTTTTCGCCAGTCGGAGTTGCTTGGTTTGCTTCATGTCATTGATTTGTCAAATACACAACGCTTTATTGCATACAGTTCATTACACCACAGACGAAGAACACACACTTAAACGAGAAAGCAATAAGACATGAATGCACACTTGACTGAGTTGTGGTTTTTTCCTAATACGATTGGGAAGGAGCTCCGTAAGATTGAGCGGGCTTATAAGAGGCAGCAGCAGGGCGGTAAGAACGAGCAGGCGTATATGAACGAGCAGGTGTGTAAGAGGGAGCAGGCTGATAAGAACGAAGCGGCTGGTGAGAGCGAGCAGCAGGACGGTAAGAGGGAGCTGGTTTGTAAGAGGGGGCAGGCTGATAGGAGCGAACAGGCTGGTAAGCGGGAGTAGCCTTATGAGAGGGAGCAGCAGGAGCGTAGGAGCGAGCTGGGGCGTAGGCGGCCGGCCCGGGGTACTGGGCCTCCCCGTCGTAGGTGACCTGGGCGCTTGTAGCCGCCGTAGCCCCGGTTGTCGGCCGTGTACTTGACGTGCTGGACCCGGCCGTCGGGCAGGCTGACCGAGTAGTAGCCCTGTACAATCTTGGTGTCGCTGTTCTCGTTCTGGGAGAACACCGAGCCGCTGTAATGGTCGTTGACGGCGTACGCGAACTGGTACGGCTGGGCATAGTACCGCGGCTCCTGGTACGACGAGGCGTAGGAAGGTGCCCGGCCGTACGACGGAGCCGGGGCGTGGCTTGGCGCCGGAGCAGGAGCGTAGCGTGGCGCCGGAGCAGGAGCGTAGCGTGGGGCGGGTGCCTGGCCGTAGCTTTGGGCCGCAGCCACCGACAAAACAGCGGCGAAAACAAAGACCTGAAATGATATAACGTTTCGTGTAACACGCTCTTGGTAGCACAAATTAAGACCACTCTGACATGGGACCAAATTTCGTATAATCAAACATGTAGTGCCGTGTTGTCTTGGCCTCTCAGTTGACCTCACCTTCATGGTGATCTCGGTGAGGTCCGATGGGTGACTGACGCTGTGTTCCTGGCCCGGTGGCCTTATATACGAGCCGTTGAGGAGGGCGGGGTCGCTCGTGCTGCTATTCGCCCTCACATTCTCATGGTGGGATCGCCCTGTGTACGTGCATGCAGAACTGGGTGTGTTCTGTTGTAGAGCTGTGGAGAGGTAAGAGGTTGGTGCAAAACGCTCAAGATAGGTGGTTATATTTATCTCTCGATTATGTTTTTAAGGTTAATGTATTTTTGAAGCATAGGTGCTACGCTCTAAAAGTGATACACATTCTGGTGCATCTTTCTTAACGTTGTGCAATATAAGATGCAATGGCGTCCTTCTGAACTTTTTTTAAGGTAGCGTCCCAGATGATACAACAACCTGAGAATCCCTTCAAGTTGTGCTTGACAGATTGTGTTAAAGATATTACATTAGGTCTCTCTGTCTCACTTGTTCTGCTATTCTCACCCAGTTCTGCCAAGTTCGCAAATATTCTCCGGGATTTTTTTCCTGAATGAAACGATTTGATAAAAAGCAATTCATTTCACGTGCTTTAATGTAAGACTGAACGTAACTTAAGGTTCCCTTGCGAGAGACAAACTTAGCACTGATGCAAATATCGATTATATAATAGATGTTGCCCATTCAGCGTGCACTCTCTGAGCAACCCTACCGTAACTGGTGGTTACCTTCTCCGTCGATGTTGTATTGTTTTGCTCGCAACGTGCTTTCTTTGCAGCTTTGCTTCCTTTAGCTAATGCGCTAGTTAAACCGGCATTTTTCTACGTGACACTTCATGATTCACCTCCTACAATCTCTGTGCGCTAGGCCCACCTACCAACGATGTTCACCCTTTGGATCCACTTCCCGCGACCTTAACGCTCTTGAACCACCTCTGCACGTTATTCACTTGCATTGTTCACTTATCCACTCTGTCAATAGTGCACTGTTCATCGTGTCAAAAAACCTGCTCCGGGTGCTTATTTTGAACTCGGGTCGTGTTGTGACCTACTTTTCGTCTCCAGAAAGTGCACGCTCATTTCAGTGGTCGACCATGTTAACTACGTAGCGCGGCGTAGTAAACACAATACGAGAAAATAGCATGCCACAGCCGAGATATGGGTACGTTTTAGATGTTATGAGTTCACTGTGATACTGAGATAATGGCCTTTCGTATGCCAGCAGTTACTGGTTTAACATGCTATGATGTTAAACAAGATGATATTGGCGGCACTTGGTATTTTCAGCTGTGGTAGGACTTTATCAACAGATGAGTACACCAGTACCATCTCCTCCTGCTATCTTGATTCCTCAGCATAAAAACTTTGATCTCGGAATACCGAGATACCAGAACTGAGAGTCTTTCTTCATGTTATGAAGAACGTTAAAAGTTACGGGCCACTAGTTGTGAGATTGAACATTTATTTGCCCACACAGTTGGCGGTTGTAAGAACCGCCAATGTCGGTCAGCATGTTGGTCGCACTGCACCGCTGCTGTAAGATCGTACAACACGAGTGATATGGAAGTGCTCTTCAGTCGCTATCGTCCTTCCTGCGATGCGCGGCCAGAATAGGACGATTTCTTTGTTGGCCGATCCAATGTCCTTGGTTTGTTTCACATAATGGCCATTTCAAGTACGTAGCGGTATATTGCATGCAATTTGTTGCACCAAAGTCGTAGAATACACACTTAGCGAGGAAGCCATAAAATATGAACACACCCACACTTAACTGAGTTGTGGACTCCTAATACGATTGGGAAGGAGCTCCGAAAGATTGGGCGGGCTTGTAAAATGCAGCAGCAGGCCGGTAAGAACGAGCAGGCGTGTAGGAACGAGCAGGTGTGTAAGAGGGAGCAGGCTGATAAGAGCGAACCGGCTGGTAAGAGCGAGCAGCAGGACGGTAAGAGGGAGCAGGCTTGTAAGAACGAGCAGGTGTGTACGAGGGAGCAGGCTGGCAAGAGGGAGCAGCCTTGTAAGAGGGAGCGGCAGGAGCGTAGGAGCGGGCCTGGAGCGTAGATGGCCCGCTTGGGGTGCTGGGCCTCCCCGTCGTAGGTGACCTGGGCGTTGTAGCCGCCGTAGCCCTGGTTGTCAGCCGTGTACTTGACGTGCTGAACGCGGCCGTCGGGCAGGTTGACCGAATAGTAGCCCTGTACGACTTTGGTGTCGCTGTTCTCGTTCTGGGAGAACACTGATCCGCTGTAATGGTCGTTGACAGCGTACCCAAACTGGTACGGCTGGGCGTAGTACCGCGGCTCCTGGTACGACGAGGCGTAAGAAGGCGCCCGGCCGTACGACGGAGCCCGGGCGCGGCTTGGCGCCGGAGCAGGAGCGTAGCGTGGCGCCGGAGCAGGAGCGTGGCGTGGTGCCTTAGCTTAGGCGTAGCGTGGGGCGGGGGCCTGACCGTAGCTTTGGGCCGCAGCCACCGACAAAACAGCGGCGAGAACGAAGATCTGAAATGACATAACGTGTTGTATAATAGGCAGTATAAAGCAGTTCAAACGACGACCATTCTGATTTTAGCAAAATCTGGTATAATTAAACATGCCGTGCCGTGTTGTCTTGACCTCTCAGTTGACCTCACCGTCATGGTGCTCTTGGTGTGATCCGATGGGTGCCTGACGCTGTGTTGCTGGCCCGGTGGCCTTATATACGAGCCGTTGTGGAGGGTGGGGTCGCTCGTGCTGCTAATCGCCCTCACATTCTCATGGCAGGGCCCCATGTGTGTGTCCGTGCAGGGCTGGATGTGTATGTCGTATGGCAGAGCTCTGGACGGCTGGAAAGTTTCGTGCAAAATGTTAAAGCTAATGGGTCACAGTTTTTGTTGAGCTGATGGCTTAGAATGTCTTCAAATGCTCAATGAATGTGGCTCACTACAATTGGAGAAAATCATATTTTCCATACCTTTTGATGGTGTACTTAACGGATAAGATACAATGGGGGGGGGGGGGGGTCTGTTGTTTTGGAGGTATTACAGGTTGCGTTATAAATGATATTCTTTGGAAGTTCTGTCAGTATTGACCACAAAGGCTTGTGTTGGAAAAAAATGCATCGTGACTGCGTTGCATGTTTATTTTTCATCCCACCAATTTCCATATATTTTGCAAGCATTCCGGTAAGTTTTGTTCCACTATTCTTATTTTTTATTATTTCATTGCTCCTATGGAAGGAGTTAATAATGCCCTTGGTCCTTAATTTTTGTTCAAATGAATTTACACCATTTCTGGAAGTATTCCAACGCATTTTATGTCTTATGGAAATATGTATAAAACAGCCACCCCAACTTTCTTGGACGCGGTACAAGAGATAAGCTTAACACTGAAACATTCATATTGTAATGACCGGTTGCACATACAAGATGCAGTCTCTGTGTAACCCTGATGGCGTTCAGTTACTGTAACTGTCCTGCCTGTCGATGGCATCCTTATATTGCTTCCGTGTTGCTCTCGTCGCCCTTTTATATTTCTCTTAACATATGCGCTAATTAAGGTCAACATATCTCCACACAACACGCACATGATTCAACTGACGCGATCATTACGCACTAGTTCCACCCATGATCTTCGCGCAATCGACCCACTTCCCCAGTGTTCACTGGCAAGATCATGTTCTACCCATTATCACCACTGCGCCGTGCCCTGTGTCACAGCAAGATGATCCGAATGTTAAGTCTGACCTCCCGTTGCATTAACACCTTGTGATCTGCACAAACTTCACAGCATTTCGGTGGTTCACAGTGGAAGGACGCAGTCCGTCGTTGTAACGCAAGACAGGGCAATCGCATGCTACAGTCGGGATATGTGCACGTTTTAGGTGTTGTGAGTTGAATGTTGTCATGCAGAGTTAACCACTTGCAATTGATCACCAGGTACTGGTTAAGCGACGTTATGGTGTTTAACAGCTATTGTATTGGAGGTGCTCGGTATTTCGAGCTGCGCTTATCTTCAAGAGATAAGTACATCAGCGCCAAGATCCTCTCCTATATTGAAGGTCGTTAACTAAGCATAAAAACTTTGGGGGCCAAGAAATCAAACCGCCGAAATACCTGGAGCTGAACACCGTTACACACTGCTATATCAAGACAACACTGTTATATCAAGCGCGTTTTATGTCACGCGCCATAAGTTGTTACCTTGAGTACCTCTGGCCACGCAGTTGGCGGTAATGGGAACTATGTAACGGTACCTGTGCTGTCTATTGGCGCATGCTGTCTTTATGTTGAATACATCACTTTGGTAATGCTGGGAAAATTCTACGGTGCAAATAAGCGTATTCTTTAGATATGGTGCAAGCGAAATTTAGACAACTTCGTATTGCTTGTGTTGTGTTGTACCTTGAGTGTGTAACGTTTCCATGGCGGCCATTTTGTGCTGTAGATGACGTCATGGATTGCCTGGCTCCGAATGGTTGTCGTTTCGTATGATTGGATATGTTCTGCCCCAACTTTAAAAAAAAAAAATTACCGCAAGCCAGCACAGAATTGCTGGTTACAAGAGAGGCTCTCCAAATCTGAACAAAGCCAACAACGTTTGAAATGTTATTGCTTGTGTGCTTCGTGCACAAGATGATGTTCTGGTGCAGAGTTTGAAGCCAGCCCTCCCTTCAGTTACATGTCTCCGTTTAATAATTTGACAACATTTCGTGCTTTGTCCCAGTAATCCTTTATTAGCAATTTCACGCAATATCAGGCGTCGTGTCTGTCGCAGTTCCCCACTGCTTCAGGATCATACAACACGAGTGTTGTAGAAGTGTTTCTTCAGTCGCTATCATCCTTCCCCCGATGTGCTACCTGGTAGTTTCTGAGTTTTGAGGGCGCGTCAGCTGCATTGGGTACTTGCGCCCAGATGTGTGGCCAGAATACTACGGTTTGTTTCTGGTCAATTCGAACTGCTTGGTTTGTGTCACGTAATTGGTGTTTCACTTACGCAACAGTATATTGCATGCAATTCACCGCGCCACGGACGTAGAATACACGCTTAAATAGGAGGCAATAAAATATGAACACATACACTTATCTTATTTGTGCACACTTCTAATACGACTTGAAAGGCGCTCCGTAAGATTGAGCGGGCTTGTAAGGAGCAGGAAGCCGGTAAGAAGGAGCAGTCTTGGAAAAGCGAGCAGATGTGTAAGAGGGGGCAGACTGGTAGGAGTGGGCGGGCTGGTAAGAGGGAGAAGCCTTGTACGAAGGGGCAGGCTGGTAAGAGGGACCAGCATTGTAAGAGGGAGCGGCAGGAGCGTAGGAGCGGGCTGGGGCGTAGCTGGCCTGCTTGGGGTACTGGGCCTCCCCGTCGTAGGTGACCTCGGCGTTGTAGCCGCCGTAGCCCTGGTTGTCAGCTGTGTACTTGACGTGCTGGACCCGGCCGTCGGGCAAGTTGACCGAGTAGTAGCCCTGTACGACCTTGGTGTCGCTATTCTCGTTCTGGGGGAACACTGATCCGCTGTAATAGTCGTTGACGGCGTACGCGAACTGGTACGGCTGGGCGTAGTACCGCGACTCCTGGTACGACGGGTCGTAGGAGGGCGCCCGGCCGTACGACGGAGCCGGGGCGTGGCTTGGCGCCGGAGAAGGAGCGTAGCGTGGCGCCTTAGCTGGGGCATAGTGTGGGGCAGGCGCCTGGCCGTAGCTTTGGGCCGCAGCCACCGACAGAACAGCGGCAAGAATGAATATCTGAAATGACATAACGTGTTGTATAATACAACCGCTCCGATATTGGACAGAATATGACGTAATCAAACATTTAATGGTATGTTGTCTTGACCTGTCACCTCACCTCACCTTCATAGTGTTCTCAGTGTAATTTGGTGGGTGACTGACGCTCTGTTCCCGGCCCCGTGGCTTCATATACGAGCCGTTGAGGAGGGCGGGGTCGCTCGTGCTGCTAATCTCCCTCACATTCCCATCGTGAGACTGTCTTGTGTATTTACGTGCAAAGGTGGGCATGCATTTCGTATGCGAGAGCTCCGGAAAGATGAAGTGTTTGATGCAAAATATTAAAGCTGAAGAGTCATAGGTATCGTTGATGTCATGATGGCTTAGTATGTTTTTAAATGTTCAATAAATGTAGCACACCCTAATAGGTGACACTCATGTTTCGCATGTGAGTTAATGGTGTACTAAACAGATCAGGTACAATGGGGGCCATGTAATCTGTAGACTTCTCGGGACGCGTCACAGATGGCACCCTGTAAGTGCCTTTAACTGTTACCCTATAGGTTTGTTTTGAAAGCATGTATTGTGACTGATCCTCGTAGTTTTTGTTTCTCACCTTATTCCTATAAATTTTGCAAATATTCCAGTATTTTTTATGATGGAAGGATTTGGTATAAACTACCCCACTCCACGTTCACAGACGTCCTTTAATGCAAGTATGGATGTCTATAGGATACCGTGCAAGAGATAAGCCTAGCATTGAGAAAAACACGTATCCTATAATAAGCACATACAACATGCAGTCTCTGTGTAACCCTGCTGGCGTCCAGTTGCTGTTACGGAATATCACCTGGTTGTCGGTGGTGTTGTTACATGGTTTTTATTGTGCTCTCGTCGCACTTCTTTTTTCTCGTATCCAGTGCACTTATTAAGGCTAAAACTTTCCCATGTAATACGCACATGATTTAACATCCACGATCTCCACGCGCTAGGTCCGCCTGCGATCTTTATGCTCGCGGTCCATCTCTCCACGACCTCCATGTCCGCGATCCACCTCTGCACGCTATTCACTCGCACGATCCTCTTCTCCCCATGATCACTACTGCAGTGTGCCTCATGTCGCAGAAAGCTGATCCAAATGTTTATGTCGGCCTACGGCTATATTAGCACTTTTTTGTCGTCTGCAGAAAATGCACAAGTATCTTAGTGGCCGAGAAATCGAACCACGCAGTACGTCGTTATGTGCACAAGACAAGAAAATGGCGTGCTGCAGGCGGGCTATGTGTGCGTTTTATATATTATGAGTTGAAGGTTTTAATACTGGGTGAACCACCTTTACTATACCAGCAGGCACTGGGTAAACGATATTATGTTGTCAAACAACGATTATATTGCAGGTATTTGGTATGTTGTGCTTTGCTTATCCCCAAGGGACGAGTTCACCGACACCGCTGTTAATACCATTTGCTTGGTTCACCACCGTTAATACCACCGTTGCTTGGTTCACCGACACCGCTGGACACCGCTGTTAATACCATTTGCTGTATTGAAGGCTGTTAACTCAGCATGTCAGTTTTGGGGACCAAGAAATAAAACTGCCGAAATACCAGGAGCTGGATACCTTCCTTTCTCATACCAAGCACGTTTTACGTCATGTTGTACTAATTGTTAGTTTGAGCATGTTGGTCACACAGCTGGCGGTCATGGGAAGCATGTGACGGTACCTGTGCCGTTTATTGGCATATGCCGTCTTTATGTTGAACGTATCATTTCTGTAATACTGGGAAAATTTTACCGTACAAATACGTATGTTCGTTGGTATGTTGGATGCGATTTTTGACAAACTGGTATTACTTGCTCTGCGCTACACCATGGGAGTATAATATTTGTATGATGGTCATTTTGTGCTGCAGATCGTGTCGTGTAATGCATTTTTCCGAATGGTTGCTGCGTCGTATGGATGGATATGATCTACCATAAAGTATCGTTTTTCACCTCAATCTGGCAGATAATTGTTGTTTTCAAGGATAACTTCAAATCTTAACGGATCCATCAACGTTTGAAATGTTATTACTTGTGTGCTTTGTACATTAGACGATGCTTTGGTGCGGGGTGTAAAGCCAGCCCCGACTAGTCAGCTACATGCCTCCGTTCAATAATATGCTGGTTATTTGTACCTGGCCGCAGTAATCCGGTATTCGGGGTTTTACATAATGTCATACAGCATGTCGGTCGCAGTGCGTCGCTGATTCAGGACCATGCAAGACGAGTGCTATGGGAGTGTTTCTTCAGTCGCTTGCATCGTTCCTGCGGTGCGCGACCTGAATACGATGATTCGTTTGTTGGCCGATTCAAGTTGCTTGGTTTGCTTCATAGAATAACTTGTTTTAATACGTAACAATTTATTACATGCAATTAATTGCACCAGAGACATAGAACACATACTTAAACGAGCAAGCAATGAGATATGGACCCACACACGCACACTTAACTCAGTTGTGTACTCTCCCTAGTACGATTGGGAAGGAGCTCCGTAAAATTCAGCGGGCTTGTAAGAGACAGCAGCAGGCCGGTAAGAAGGGGCAGGCCTATAGGAACGAGCAGATGTGTAAGAGGGAGCAGGCTGATAAGAGTGTGCCGGTTGGTAAGAGGGAGCAGCAGGTCGGTAAGAAGGAGCAGGCTTATAGGAACGAGCAGGTGTGTAAGAGGGGGCAGGCTGGTAGGAGCGAACCGGCTGGTAAGCGGGAGCAGCCATGTGAGAAGAAGCGGCAGGAGCGTAGGAGCGGGCTGGGGCGTAGCTGGCCGGCTCGGGGTACTGGGCCTCCCCGTCGTAGGTGACCTCGGCGTTGTAGCCGCCATAGCCCTGGTTGTCAGCCGTATACTTGACGTGCTGGACCCGGCCATCGGGCAGGTTGACGGAGTAGGAGCCCTGTACGACCTTGGTGTCACTGTTCTCGTTCTGGGAGAACAATGATCCGCTGTAATGGTCGTTGACAGCGTACGCAAACTGATACGGCTGGGCGTAGTGCTGCGGCTCCTGGTACGACGGCGCGTAGGAGGGCGCCCGGCCGTACGACGGAGCGGGGTTGTAGCACGGCGCCGGAGCAGGAGCGTAGCGTGGCGCCGGGGCTGGAGAATAACGTGGCGCCGGGGCTGGGCTATAGACGCGTATCCTATGCCAGACCTCAGGAGAAATCAGGTGTTTTACGCAAAGCATGGCAGTGCGGAAGTCATGGTTATCACTCTTTGATACTTGATGGTGGAAAATGTCAGCTGTGTGGTCATCAGCGGTAGCCAAATTTAGAAAGTCTATACAGCTAGAATGTTCTACAAGCATCACACATCAAGAAGTGGTACTTTTTATTTCCACACCTCAATGCTAGGAGCTTAACACCTTATCTCACCGGAGTTCTGGCAAACAACATGCATACTCAGCCCTGCATGTACAAAACCCCGGGGCCACACTTTGATAAGGTGAGAGGAGAATGGCTGATTATCGACAGGCATAAATTACTAACAGCACATAATTCGGGTGAGATTTTAAGCCACCAGGTAAAAAATACTATGCTTATGCTGAGTGTTCCCACAACAGCCGTTCGAGACCGAAGGGATGATATTCATCTCGTGAACGACGAAGGCAGAATGATACCATCCATATTTAATGAGGCATGGTCCAGAATGACTCAAAATGGCTCCCTATGTTCAGCTAATACTTCACTGGCAAGACGGACCATGCCGAGCATTGCTGCGCGCTAAGCTTTCGCCTTCAAATTCTGCTGCCTACATGGCATTGCGCGATCGGATGGTAGGGATCAGGATTCACACGGCATGCAATGCCTAGCATGAACTTTGATCTTAGAAACCCATCTATTCAAAAAGCTTGGATGGAATGTTAACATCTACCATCTTCATTTTCAGTACCGGAATTAGAAATTGGAGATGATGGCACATTGAATATGTTTCCTGATGTTAAAAAAGCACCTGCGGTAAATCATTCTTTTGATACATCCGTTCTACCATCTTTGAAGAACTATGCGCTGGCATGACTGATGCACGAGTAGCTACCTTGCGGTTACATTGTCACTGTATACTACATTTTAACAATAAAAATATGCATGGAGACATGTTTGCAGGATGTATCCATCCTTTACACAGTCCACAAAGGCTTCTTTTGATTTGCCTCTCAAGGGTGCCTGAACGAGTACCGAGTTGGACAAGAAAAGAGTTGAAAGAAGTGCTCTGTCTTCTCCCAGGAACACCCAGGTTGTACATATCACAGGAAGGACATATCACATGGTAACGGAAAGCCCAGAGAACAATACATTAAAAAAGACAATTTGATGTGTTCACGGATATTTCTAATGACTGGAATCGTTAGCGACAAATACTTTCAAGCGATTCAGCTAACCATATTATTTAGCTGCTCTTAAACGTGGTCATCCCCTTTTACGCCGCTACACCGAAACAACAAGCCACCGCCAATTTTCTTCTTGAGGACTTGCTTTGCTTGCTTGCTTTGCTTTCTTGCTGCTTGCTTTCTTTGGGAGATGAAGCACGGAACTTATTCGTACCGCCATTTTTGCCCTGCCAAACCCTCGGTTAGTTTCTTTTTTTGGTTCATGGCGGTGTTCGATAATGATAAATCTAAGCCTTTCGAGTGTGTAACTCACCAGGCTACCTGACAACGCCATCCTCATGCTGCCATATAGAGCATTGGGACAGACCTGACGCATCTAATACAGACATGTTTAATGGCGAAATTCTGCCCTCCGGAAATGTTTATCATGCACACCTCTTACTTGTTTCGCATTTTAATATCCTAGGCTGGTCGACGTGATTTATATTTATATTTGGGGTGGGGGAGTGGAATGAAAAGAGTTTGCCATTTTCTGTTTTAATCTATCGAGTTTTGTCATAAGACAACTTATGATGTCACAAGGCCGGCAATGGGCTCATTTTGTTCCATTTTCTTTATTGTTTGCCCCAAAATTTCTTAAAGTGGTCCCCCATGGTTGCTTGAACCAGATGTTTTCCATAGTTGTCATGGTTTGCGTACTGGCAAATGACTGTACTGTACGTATGCACTATATTTTTAACACTGGGATGCCCAACAAAGCCAACAAAGCCAAAAAACTTACAATGCTGCTCCCTCTTATCAGCCTGTTCGCTTCTATCAACCTGCTCCCTCCTTCAAACCAGCTCCCTTCTTACAAACCTGCTCGTTCCCACATTCCCTCTCCATCTGCTGCATTGGCGGGGTAGTCCCATGTACGTCTCGCAGAAAGAGTTAGAGGGATAGGGAGCCAGCAACGTGTTAACAAACAGGTGCACGTGTCCAGAAAGAACGTACTGTCCCGAAGCAGCAGTGCACCACGATTGGTATGCGGCTTGACGTTGTGTTCCACCACTAACAAAGGTTTAGTGAAGCCAAACAAAAAAAACCGCGCGTCTATCAAATGCATGCTTGCACCTGGTTATAAAGGAAGCACACTTGGCTTAAGACCTGTATCACTCCAAGCACTATACGTTAACGGTGAGATAGATTTTCATTTTATGCACGTAAGGGTTCGTCTGAATATGCAAACAAACATAACAGGGCGGGCTTTCGAAGTCGCAGTTAATAGATTCTGTACCGCAAAAACAGAAAATAGCTACCAGTAAGATCAGAGCGGTTCCAGGCCTGCATGACAAGGTTTACTTCATGAATTGTCAGCATAAGAGCATCATCGTTTTCACTAATTTCGAAGGAAAACAAGCATATCGTCGAGGATGTTGTTAATCACTGATTTGTATCATGTGCACGATGTTGTGCTTCCAAATTGTTTAGTTGATCATTTAAATGCATGAGCTGTATCTGCAGATTAACACGCGTTGGGTGGGGGAGGGGCAAATTGACCCCCCGAAGGTTTTTTCCAGAATGGTTTCCGAACGGTGCGGCGTAGCCGCGTCAAATTTTGCATAGCTGTTCACAATCAAATAGCAAATCGTTTGGTGTATAAAATTTAGATGTATCTTATGAAGTCACTGACCTATGGCTGGTCAAAATCAGACCATGAGTTTTTTCCCAATCCTGTTATTAAAACCAAATTCAACAAAATATTTTTCAAACCTCTGCATGTCAGTTATAGGGCAGAATGTGTCCTAAAAAGTAAGCACAACAAAATCTTTTAAAGGAAAGCCGATAGGCCGCACTTGATAATTTTCAGTCTATATCAGTGATGAGAACTTCAACCTCGAGGTTAGTAGGCCGCTATTCAGCCATCTATTTAGCATATCAACTAATCTCCAAAATACGTATGTCGCTTTTATGCGTGGATCCAAACAACTTTAAATATATATGAAAGAAGCCCAACTCATCTCTCTCTCTCTCTCTCTCTCTCTCTCTCTCTCTCTCTCTCTCTCTCTCTCTCTCTCTCTCTCTCCTCTCTCTCTCTCTCTCTCTCTCTCTCTCTCTCTCTCTCTCTCTCTCTCTCTCTCTCTCTCTCTCTCTCTCTCTCTCTCTCTCTCTCTCTCTCTCTCTCTCTCTCTCTCTCTCTCTCTCTCTCTCTCTCTCTCTCTCTCTCCTCTCTCTCTCTCTCTCTCTCTCTCTCTCTCTCTCTCTCTCTCTCTCTCTCTCTCTCTCTCTCTCTCTCTCTCTCTCTCTCTCTCTCTCTCTCTCTCTCTCTCTCTCTCTCTCTCTCTCTCTCTCTCTCTCTCTCTCTCTCTCTCTCTCTCTCTTTCTCTCTCTCTCATTGGCGCTTTACGACGCACTCGAGGCTATATGGCGTCGCCTGCCGCTAACCCTGGCAGGAAGGGCGAGCACCGCGGGGAATCGAACCCCGTCCCTCTGGTTCCTAATTCTGGTTTCTAAGGCCTAATTCTTCTTCTATATCTTTGCTCCACATCAATGTTTCCGTAAAAGGCAATGTATATATATATATATATATATATATATATATATATATATCAATGGTTTGCATTTTGCAAGTGCGCTGAAAACATGCTGTATGCACCTTACAATCCCCACCACGCAACGTCCGTTCCACGGATTAGTTCTCACCGAGGCTCCGTTGCTGGCTGCTGCTGCTGATGCGGGGCCATTCCAGACCAAGGGTCCGCCTCGGCTTCACACGGCAGTCACCCCCTCCATCCACCACCACCACAACCCTGATACCCTCGTCCTACAATCCACAAACCCGACCAGTCTCGTTCCAGCAGGAGACCAAGAACGCACCAGGAACGTCGTACCAGGAATTACGACCTAGCGACACCAGTTTGAGTACACCATCACCGACCAGAAGGCCGGCGCGGTGGTCTTAAATAAGGCCGGAATAAAAGAGCTTTTACAGAAGTTATTATCCCAGCGAGACATAAAACACTCCAACTTAATGTCATAGGCATTAATGTATGTTTTCTGGTTGAATAACAACCTTCCACAATCGAATGGGAATTTGATTGCAATGCAGTGAGGACCATTTAGGCATTTCATTTTCTTCGTAGTTGCCGACTACTACAAATTTTACTCGTTTCGCTTTATTTATGGAGGGATAAAACTAAAGGCATAGCTACTAATTCACTTCAAACATCAAAAGGTATTCACTATCACTTCCACGTCTCCATGGTGATGCGAAAAAAGATGACTTGTGCAGAGTTCTAGCATAGAACATGCACGCCCAGCTCCGCATGTACATAGAAAGGGCGGCCTAAACATGAGAACGTGAGGGTAATGACAGCAACAGCGACCACACCCTTCGCATCGGGTCGTATATAATGCCACTGGCCCGAAAACAAAGCGACAGTAACCCACAAGATCATAGTGAGATCACCATGAAGGTGAGGTCAACTGACAAGCAAAGACAACACATCGCTGCATGCTTCTGTATGTCAGTTAAGTACCGATATCAAAGTGGTCGTCACTTGATTAAACTTGACTTGATGACGTGACGTGACTTGATTAAACATATTTTCAAACTTGCTTTCATTGGGAGATGGTTGATTGGAAAAAACATCCCCTAGTTCTTTGAAAGATCGCACTGTGCTACTGATTATACCTCCTCAAGCGTGTCTGAAATGACATTAAATGTTGTAAGGTGTCCGAACGTGACTCCATAAATCCTTAGCGAACAGGACTTTTGTCTCGCCTAACGAAGCAGTGCTGGAGCTCTTCCCTATTAGATCTTGAAAAAGAGCAAGTTACAGACACACAGAAAACAACACTGGAAACGAATGCTAAGCATGCTCCTCAAAAGGCCAAAGAATGTCCTCGTTATCAGTTTCCCATGCATCATTCTGATTGCATCAAATTTGCATCATCCATTGCATCATCATTGATTGCATCAAAAATTAACCATGCAAGAGATACTCATATACCAATCGATGCGAAAGACGTCCTTGAATAGCTTTTGGAGGATTCTGTTCTATACGCATTATTGAGCATTGACTGAGGTCAAATTTGTAATGTCATGTCAGGTGAACGGGTCATAGGCGATTGTTGAATTGGTCTTCCCCTCATTTCAAGAACCAAACAAAATTTATCAACGTGGAGAACAGCGCAAACACATTTTCCAAAGCTGTTAGACAAAGGCCAACTTTACGTCAGCAATGCTCTTAGATGGTAAAGAGTGGCAATGGTGAGAATAGGAATCTAGCAGCCCATTTGAAATGCTTTTCTCTCGAAGAAAAACCGTTATTGATACTGGTCAAAATGTGGCCTCATTCTAATGCCCCACTCCTCGTAAGGCGAGGGTTAAAATTTGAGCCGTGCAAGATTTGAACAGAACTCCTGGAGTGGCGTACGTGAATGTGATCATTACACCCGTGGTGTGCTGTGCTTTGCTTCCGTAGCTTTGTGATAGGGCATGTGACGCAGCATCAACCCGTTTGTCCGTGAAATCACTGCTGCTTAGGAACAACACTTTGCAAGTGTTCTGCAAACTGTACGTTTTTGTTATTCTGTTGTTATTTCCTCACGTACCATCATTTTTCCTGCGAAGCACGTTGTGATCATGTGGGTTTGTTGGTCGGTCGAGTCGAGCTATTCCGCTTGTGTGATATATTTGCTCAGTAGTGTACTTTACAGTATATTACTCATGATACATGCATACATTGCATTGCTGAATATACATCGGATGCACACATAAACGAAAGAACAATAAATCACGGGCACATTTGTGTCAGTACTGGGTGCTCGCTAATACGACTGGTGAGGAGCTCCGTTAGCTTCGGCGGGCTTATAAGAGGGAGCAGCGGGCGTGTAGGAGGGAGTACGCTGATAGGAGCGAACCGGCTGGTAAGAGGGAGTAGCAGGTTGGTAAAAGGGACCTGGTGTGTAGGAGGGGACAGGCTAGTAGAAGCGACCTGGCTGGTAGGAGGGAACAGCCTTGTAAGAGGGAGCGGCAGGAGCGTAGGAGCGGGCTGGGGCGTAGCTGGCCGGCTCGGGGTACTGGGCCTCCCCATCGTAAGTGACCTCGGCGTTGTAGCCGCCGTAGCCCTGGTTGTCAGCAGTGTACTTGACGTGTTGGACCTGGCCGTCGGGCAGGTTGACCGAGAAGTAGCCCTGTACGACCTTGGTGTCGCTGTTCTCGTTATGTGAGAACACTAAGCCGCTGTAATGGTCGTTAACGGCGTACGCGAACTGGTGCGGCTGGGCGTAGTAACGGGGCTCCTGGTACGACGAGGCGTAGGAAGGCGCCCGCGCGTACGACGGAGCCGGGGCGTGGCTTGGCGCCGGAGCAGGAGCTTGAGGTGGTGCTTTAGCTGGGGCGTAGCGTGGGGCGGGTGCCTGGCCGTAGCTTTGGGCCGCAGCCACCGACAGAAGAGCGGCGAAAACACAAATCTGAAATGAGAATGTACACTGCATGTTATGTACTTAGGAAGTGCAAGTGACGACCACTTTGATATCGGTACTTAACTGACATACGGAAGCATGCAGCGATGTGTTGTCTTGGCTTGTCAGTTGACCTCACCTTCATAGTAGTCTCACTATGATCTTGTGGGTTACTGTCGCTTTGTTTTCGGACCAGTAGCGTTATATACGACCCGATGCGAAGGGTGTGGTCGCTGTTGCTGTCATTACCCTCTCGTTCTCATGGTTAGGCCACCCTTTCTATATACATGCGGAGTTGGGCATGCATGTTCTGTGCTAAAACTCTGCACAGGTCATCTTTCTCATATCACCATGGAGACATGAAAGTGATAGTTTATACATCTTGATGTTTGATGTGAATTAGTAGCCATAACTTGAGTTTTATCCCTCCATAAATAAAGCGAGTAGAGTACAATTTGTAGTAGTCGGCAACGATGAAGAAAATGGATTGCCTAAATGGTCCTCACTGCGTTGCAATCAAACTCCAGTTGGATTGTGGAAGGTTGATATTCAACCAGAAAATGTACAGGAATGTCCATGACATTAAGTTGGAGGATTTTATGTCTCGCTGGGATGAAAACTTCTGTAAAAGCCCTTCTATTCCGGCCTTATTTAAGACCACCGCGCCGGCCTTCTGGTCGGTGATGGTGTACTCAAACTGGTGTCGCCAGTCGTAATTCCTGGTACGACGCTCCTGGTGCGTTCTTGGTCTCCTGCTGGAACGAGACTGGTCGGGTTTGTGGATTGTAGGACGAGGGTATCAGGGTTGGGGTGGTGGTGGATGGAGGGGGTGACTGCCGTGTGAAGCCGAGGCGGACCCTTGGTCTGGAATGGCCCCGCATCAGCAGCAGCAGCCAGCGACGGAGCCTCGGCGAGAACTAATCCGTGGAGCGGACGTTGCGTGGTGGCGATTGTAAGGTGCATACAGCATGTTTTCAGCGCACTTGCAAAATGCAAACCATTCACATAATCTTTTACGGAAACATTAATGTGGAGCAAAGGTATTGACAAAAAATTAGGCTTCTTTCAGATATGTTTAAAGTTGCTTGGATCCACCCATAAAAGCGGCATACGTATTTTGGAGGTTAGTCGATATACCAAATGGTTGGCTGAATAGCAGCCTATTGATTTCGAGATTTAAGTTCTTATCACTGATATAGACTGAAAATTGTCAAATGTGGCCCATCAGGTTTATTTTAAAAGATTACATTGTGCTTACTTTTTATGACACCTTCTGCCCTGACACTGACATGCGGAGGTTTGGAAGATATGTTGTTAATTTTGATTTTAACGACAGGATTGGAAAAAAACACCGTTGCGTTTGTGTGACACTATCTCTCCAATAAAAGTGGACGTGACTTAGGTTCCCTTCGAGAGAAAGGCGAAGCAAACTGTACCCAACGGGCGAAGATAAGCTTGACAATCCAACAGACACGCTCCCTATACTGACCTGCTGCCCGTTCAATATCAAATATCTGGGCAATGCTGGCGCTTAGTCGCTCTGGCTCCTGGTTAGGTTATTGTCGCCAATGATGCTGTAGCATTCCTGCCATCGCACGCACATCGCAATTTCACGCTTCTGTTGCTGCACGAGTACGCCTATCAAACACGATGGCACGTGACGCGCACTCAATTCTCCTCCCGATCTCAACGAACACACCACATGGCCACATGATCATCATGAGCCACAGCACATCGGTCACAGGCAGCTGTTCTGAATGCTTATTTTGCAATGCGCCCGTGTTTACGCCTTTCCTTAACGCGCGCCCGGGTGGCCAGCTAGATACCATTCGCTGGAAGAAAGGAGCTGGTTGGAAGGAGGGAGCAGATTGATAGAATCGAACAGGCTGATAAGAGGGAGCAGCCTTGTAAGATGGAGCGGCGGGAGCGTAGGAGCGGGCTGGAGCGTAGCTGGCCTTCTCAGCGTACTGGGTTTCCCCGTCGTAGGTGACCTCGGCGTTGTAGCCGCCGTAGCCCTGGTTGTCAGCCGTGTACTTGACGTGCTGGACCCGACCGTCGGGCAGGTTGACCGAGTAGTAGCCCTGTACGACCTTGGTGTCGCTGTTCTCGTTCTGGGAGAACGCGGAGCCGCTGCAATGGCCGTTGACGGCATGCGCAAACTGGTACGGCTGTACGTAGTCCCCCGGCCCCTGGTACGGCGGGCGTAGGAAGATGCCCAGCATACTAAAAATTTATACATTCATTGATTATACACGGACATTACTTCTACTGAATGTTCATACGCAACATTAATGCTGCACGACGGAACTTGTACTTCAACATGCACAATAACCATGCTTTTTACTGCAAAAACGTGTACATTCCTCACGTATACGCATACTACTGCTTCTGCATATGCTTGCCGTAGGGTGAAAAATATGCAAACACCTAGCAGGAGTGTAGGAACAATTCATAGGTTAGTAGAGAAACCCAGCTGGGCATTGCTACATCAATATTTTCGTAGCGCTGATCCGAACGAGTAGTTATGTATTATGTTAAAGAATATAAAAGAATTGCAAAGCACATCATCATGTTTGGCGTTGGACACTACACGATCGGCTCGCTGGTCATATGCACGTCTCGATGACAATTTGCTCATCATCTGTACGAAGATCTCCGATGTCCTGCAGCGTCACGCCCCACGGCTAGCGGCCATGCACATTGAAGTCCCGGCACCAAGGGCATCACTTCCCGGTGCAACGCCCGTGAAAACCCGGCTTATAGCAAAGCCCATGCACGGCACCGCATTGAATTTGCTGGAGAAAATAGAATACCAGCTTGAGCACCTCACGCATTTCCGGATTTCTTTAACACGCGCCCGCGTGGCCGGCTAGATCAGTGAGCTAGAATCGCTTTTGAACTAGGATGAGAGTGAAAAATTCCATCGCAAAAAGACACTCCGGGAGTGAAAAGTTCAGTTTACAAAAGATGGAACTTATGAGCTAGTGACTGATGCCTCAGCAAACAAAGACATCTATTTCAAGTTGGCATGGACGTAATATTATATACCTGACAAAACTGCTTTGTTTTTAAACATCTTGGGCCATTAAAGTGAAACAGAATACATTAAAGCATGGCAACTTCATGACAGTGTAATGAGCATAAGCAATCCGGTAACACGAATAATTTGATGCTGCACTTTGCACTTCCCTTCAACAGCGTTTTAACACAAAATAAAGGAAGGGAATTCGACAACCAAATAACAACAGAAAATTCAACAAGCACAAAGCACTCAAACAAAAAAAAAACCTTTGACTCCTACACATCAGCTCATCACCAAGTCAGACACCATGCATATTACTCTGGCTTCTGTTAAGGGGGGGTCAGGGAAAGCAAACAATTTGTCACTGTTTCTTACAAAGTACCTCTGCTTATTTCCACGAAAGTAGCCTAACTATGCCTAACGTAAAGAGGCCCTACTTTATCTCATCCTGCCTAACCTGTTTGTATCACAGCAGCAGTTGTGAGATACTGATTCCTGCACAATTCCTATTGTCACTTTCCATGCACTTCACCAACTTAACGTAGCTTAGAGTAGCCCATATGTTGAACATCATGTCAGCTCACCCATCTGTTGACAGCTGCACTTGTGATACAAAGATGATAAAGCTAACTTTTTGTTGGTTTCAACTTACATTCTTATTCAGTTCATTCGTGTATGCTTGTCAACATCAGACAAAGTTGACAACACATAAATGAAAACATTTTAAATCACTCTGAACAACTTGTTCTGATTGCCATGGTTAATCTCTGTCAGGGGCACTATTGGGCATGCTCCACAAAACAATTGCTCTTCTCCAAAAGTCACATAACTTTAAGGTGACCATGCCAGTGTTGCTGCTTGCCTTTTCAGCTGCAGCAAAGGCATCTATTTATGCTTGTCTATTCATGTTTAATAACATATTTTGAAATATTGGCCTCACATTTTAAATGGGATGGTCTGACTATTTGCCTAATGCTGATATTTATCTCATATTATGATTGCTACGCAGCTTACAGAATCACAGTGTTAAAAACGTAGCTCACATATACAGTACAGTCATTTGCCAGTAAGCAAACTATGGCAGCTATGGAAAATATCTGGTTCAAGCAACCATGCGGGACCACTTCAAGAAATGCGGGAAAAAATCAAAAATATAGAACAAAATAAGCCACTTGCGTGCCTTGTGACATCATAATTTGTCTTATGAGAAAACTCGATGGATTAAAACAGAAAATGGCTAACTCTGGTTACTAATCATGTGTTAAAAGCAGGTAAGGTAAGCGATTACTTGGTTCCACATGCGAGCAACTGGCTTTTTCAGGACACACCTCCTTCTGGTCCCCCCAAAACAAAAAGTCAGTACCACGGTTTGCACAGTCTGCTGACAGACAGAGTCAACCGACTCACCCGCCAAATATAAATATCAATCACGTCCACCAACCTAGGAGATTAAAATGCGAAACAAGTAAGATAAGTGCATGATACACATTTCCGGAGGGCAGAATTTCGCCATCAAACACTTCTGTCTTAGCTGCGTCAGGTCTGTCCCAAAGCTCTACATGGCAGCATAAGGATGGCATTGTCAGGTACCCTGGTGAGTTAGACACTCGAAAGGCTTAGATTTATCATTATGGAGCGCCGCCATGAACCAAAAATGGCTAACCGATGGTTTAACAGGGCAAAAATTAAGGCAAAAACAGGTTCCGTCCTTCAAATTGTCTCCTTCATTCCCTGCGAACTGTTCACTCCTGGGTGCATATCAAACATGTTTGGGCGGCTGGCAAATTAATGCAATATATGTCTAAAATACGTGCAAGTTTACAGCTGGGGCATCTGACAGAAAAATTGGTCAACATACTAAGCAACAGACAGTTCCTCTTAAGGTAATTGGAAAGGAAGGAAGATTAAGTCGCATCACACTCGTATCATACCAAGAAAAACAAGAGTAGTTAAACAAATTTAAAGACTGACCCCTTTTAGGGAAATTTGTGTTATAAGCTGACTTGACTTAAATATGTTAAAATAAGTGCTCAGAGAGTAATATTCATTTTGTAAATTTCATTTGGAAGACATGTCTTGAATTTTTTACTCCTGCATTTAGGGAGTGATGCAATTTGAATGGT